CCTGGCTGCAAATCCCACAAATTAATTATGCAGTCAGTGGAGAAGGGCTTCCTTTGCTCTCCTGCCAGCCAGCTTCACGGGATGACTACCAAGGTCGAATATTATGAGAGAAGGAGACCAGCCTCTCTCAGCTTGCTTCACTGTCCACTGCGTTCCTTCTGTTCCACTTTGGAGGAACTGTTTTACTCACGTAGATGGCAAACACAAGGCTGTTGTAAGTTTTGCAGCTCGCAAAGACCTCATATAGAAATAAATGATGTTGCATACTATACTTTATGAGTTACCTGCTCAGAGTATTCCTATGTCACCTCCTGGCCTGGGCCACAGTCCCAAGTATATTTGCCTGTTTTTTTTTTTTTTGTTTATCTGTGGACCAAACTAAATGTTGCATACATTTAACAATAGTACAATAGTCTCCTTTTCTGTTGAAAAGAACATTCTGGAGGGGCAGGAGAAGAAACTGGAAGGCCACCTGAGTGGGATGGTGTGACCTGGTGTCCTGAAGCAGCAGGGGGTGGACTTGATGGACTGCTTGGCCTCTACGATTCTGTGCTCCTGAGTTGCAGAGCATTGGTCCTGATAAAAATCCCCGTGAAGCTCTGTTGTTTACATTGCTCCACTGCAAGAATCGACAATGTATTCCTCCTCTCTGCTTTGTATTCTTTAACCAGCTGCTGCCCCATAAGATGAGTTCTCTTATTCCATGAGGATTAAATTTGCTCAACGGTCTTTGGCGAGGGACTTTGGGAAGTCCCAGCAAGCAGCGTCCGCTGGATCACTTCTGTCCACATATTTATGGACCTTCTCAGAGAACTCTGAAGTTAGTGGGACAGGACTTACCTTTGAGGAAGCCATGCTGATTATTCTTCTACAGGGCTCGTTCTCCCATTTGCATACCAATTTTGTTCTGAATAATACTTTTGACCAGTTTACCTAGAACAGATATTAAGCTAACTGGCCGGCAATTTCCTGGATCCCTTTTTAAACATTGGTGTTATTCTCCAATCTTCTGATACCAAGAGCATGTTATACATATAAATTCGTTAATATATATAAGATCAGCAATTTCATATCTGAGTCATTTAAGGACATTAGGAAGAATCCCCTCCAGACCAATGTTTTATTAATTTTTAGTTTTTCCACAACGTCTAGAACTTCATCATTAGTCATTCCCCTTTGCTCCAGTTCTTCTAATTCCATTCCTAAAAAAATTTCGGTGCAGGCGTAGCTCTTGGCCATACCTTCTGCAGTGAACACAGATGAAAAGAATTTGTTCATCTTCTCTGCAATCCCCTTCCTTTAGTACTCCTTTAACACCATTATCATTCTAGCATCAAAAGGCCAGACAACACCTTAAGTCTGATATACTGAAAGGATTCCTCATTGTTGGCTTTGATGTGGCTAGTGATACCCTACTCAAAAGGTCTTCCCCCCATTTTGATTGTCTGTGGGCATCTCCTTGTGCAAGGTAGTGAGCCCGTCTTTTTTATCTTTTGGACAAGTCTTCCATTTCCTGAGTGAAGCCTTCTTTTCTCTAATAGCTTCCCCGACCTTTCTCCTTAACCAAGCTAGAGATTTCTTGGACTTGGCGCTACCTCGCCTAATCCGTGGCTCAGATTCTAGCTAAGCATCTGTGGTTTTGAGTAACTGCCAAGCACTTTGAAGGGTTTAGCCCCCTTGACTTCCCTTTTCAATTTCTTTTTTTTAACCAGCGCCTTCATGTTAGAGAGGCTGCCTCTTTTGAAGTCAAATACATCTCCGCTGGACTTCCTTGGTCTTAAATCTGATAGCGCAGGCGCCGATACCTGCCACATTCCTCTGCATGGCAGTGGCAGTCTGGTTGCATCTCGCTTTGATGCAGGCTGCCCCTCTTGCCCTAGAAGGCTTCCCAGTGCTTGCTTTAAAGCTCCTCAGCTTCGCCCACCTCGCTGGCCCGGTGCGTGGAAGGGAAAGGACTTCAAAGAACACTACTTTGGTGGCCCTGGCTTTTAACTTTCTCTTCAGCAACCTAAATCTAGCCTCCAGGACTTTGTGACTGCTTTTCCCTGCACCGCTGGTGCAGGTATGGACCGTGGGCAACCAAATAGGACCAGCAGTAGTGAAAAGTGCCTCTTTAGAAAGCCATGTGTGCACAGTTGTTGGCTGAGTGAGCAGCTTCCTTTTCTTGGACCAGAAAGTGGGATTCGGCCCTTCGTCAGTGCGTGCTTCATAGCCACCCTGGCGTGAGGTCAGAGTGTTCTCGATCTGCCTTTGGTACATTCGTTACTTGAGTGCCAATGCCTTCCTTGGAAATATATGGCACACAGGTAATGGACCAGGGTAGCAGAGCGAACGGACAGTCTTCCCAGCATTTCTGTTTTCCTAAGAAATACTTAAAGTTAAACAGTGTTGTTCCAGCACAGAAGATGTGGTTACCATATTTTCTGGCCAAAGAATCTCTTCCCCTTACCAGAGAGATATTAATGAGTTGGATGGAATTCAGGGGAAAACCACAAAAATGACAAAGGCCCGAGGAGGCAGGCTTTGCTCGAGGCCCCTTTGCACAAGCCAAAGCTGATAGTTTTGGGATGACGAAGAGAGAGAGGCGCAGTAACAGTAACCCCTGCCTGGTTTCACAGGGATTTGGATGGGAATCCGAGGGGGGGGGGGGCCTTGTTGGGAAGGATGCAGAGTGGAACGGTCTCCTTGTGGGAATATGATCTCCTCAGGAGGCACGAGGCTCCAGCGCGAGCGGCCCTCTCCTGTGGAATGTGCCGCACGTGGGGGTGGGCACGGCTGGATGCGCTCGCGCGGAGCCATTCCATGCCCGTCGGCTCGGGCTCTGCACCAAACAAGGCTGCGGCTTGCCCTGGGCGTAAACGGCGTGGATTCAGCAGTTGGGCATGGTTACTTGTGCATGGCATACGTGCATTTTTTAAATACTCCTTTTTAATGCTGCAGGTAGAGCCTTGTTTTGGATTTGCTACTCCTGGGAAGAGTATCTGTGCAAGCAGAACCCCTGTTCCAGTGATTTACAGGTTGCCTGGTTGCCTCCATATGTTTTGGGCTGCAGCTTTGAGAATCTCTGACCATTGCTCATTGTGCTCAATGAAATGCTCTGAACACTCTACATTATTAGCTCCTTTATGGAAGCTTAGTGTTAGGTTCTGACGTACAAAACCATTGTGCTGTTACCAACTAGTGTATCTGGGTGGACACATTCTAGGATCTTGAACTGAATGTCTCAGTAATTGGCTGGAATTTGTGGTCACTAAGTAGAGAAATCGTCACTAAGACAGGATTGGGGTAGGATACTCAATATAGTATTGCAGAAGTACAGGACTGCCGGAACAAAGAGGGCAGGCAGTGACTTGGTGTAGAAGTAGGTTTGTGTTGGGGAAAGAAGGAGCAACTGGATGGGAGAGAAGAGGAGAGGCGGACAGAGTGGCTGGTTGGGTTCCAGCTGGATTGGCTGTGCAATTGAATCGAAGCAGCCTTGGCTTTTCCACGGTTCCAGGGAGGCAACAGGCGGACGTCAGCACTGGGAAGGGAGCTTAGCTGTAGCGTAGGCATTACCTGTTCCGAAGCAGTGGGGACCCATCCTGGGAGGCCTGCTGAACTCTGGGAATTGGTCTTGAAAACTGGAACTTCAGTGTTGTGTGGGTTGCTCCTTAGGATACAGTAGGAACCACAAACTGGGTGTCAAGCTGTGAGTCTGTGTTAACGAACAAGAAGGGCTGAATTTTTGTGCTGACCAGAGGTGGAACATGTGCCAAACGGATGGAAGAGGTGAGATACATTAGCTAGTGCCAACTGATGCACTTGCTCCTACAGATAATTCCTTTTCAAAACCTCGGACCCCTTCCCCTTAATATCGGAAGACTGGCAAAGGAAGGGTAGGCGAAATGTGAGCATTTAGGTTTTCCCCCATTGGCACCTAGTGCAAAAAGATGCAGCGTGTCGAAGGAAGGATTGGGCCTATCTGGGAAGTATTTTATTGGCAATAAAGGACCAAGTGTTTGGTTTATCCCTGCTTCTTGCGCAGGCATTTCCTTCTCTGGGCCTGGGATGGCCAACAAAGGAGGCGTCGACTTGCGCGCAAGCGGAACCTGGCAGAGCACGTGTTGTTCGCACATGCTCGCTCTCTTGCCCTGGCTTCTCAAGCCGATTTAGAACGGTTGACGCAGGTTATACGTTCCAAAAACAAGCAAGCGAGCAAACAAGCCTCTGCTTGGCTTATTTTACTGGGCAAACCAGAGGCTGGCGAGAGCATTCGCATGGCAGCAACACGAAGCCTGAGGGCAGCAAAGCCATTTGGCTCGCGCATCTCGGAGAATGTTTATCTCCTACCTCTGCTTACAGTTTGGCGATATTTATGGAAAGCTGGGACAACTGGGGTGGGGAACCAAGTCTGCAGAGTGGCAGAAGGAAGTTCTGGGTGATAGCAAACAGTCTGTGTATTTCTCACTTTCATGAAAGCTTTTCAAGGAATTTGGCCGCTGCACTTAGGAATGGATGGTTTGGCAATTTCTGATCCATTTTGCAGGTCGATATGTCTGCCTATAATTCTTTCCCACCTTATTTCTGTGAATCGGTATTTTTAAATCCGCACAAATACATCTGAAATGCCTTTTCTTTCAAAGTACACGCTTATACATGCCTTCTCCCGAAAGCACACATCCTTGAACACGTTGTCTTTCAAAATGTGCATTTCAAAGCTATTCAAACGCAGGTTCTGAGCTGAGAACCAGACCACTTTGGGCATCCTGGCAGAGAAGAGCGCCTGTGGGTGGCAGTGCTGCAGCCCGCACATCGGTCCGCTTCGTAGGATCCCATTGACCGGGCGGGAGGGGAGGTCTGCCTGAAGCCAGAAAGCAGTGCCTGGAGGGCTGTGGGCCTGCCCGCTCAGAGCCCCTTGCACGCGCTGCGGGGTGGTTGGCACTCGTGCCGGCCCTGGGAGCTGTTTCCGGGGCAGGTGTGGTCAGCGGCCTTTTCCTGTGTCTTTGGTCCCCCGCCTCCAGGAAGATCCTCAGCATCCGTTGCCTGGAGAGTGGCTTCTGGGAGGAAGGCGGCTGTGTCCCCGTGGTGTGCAAACCGCCCCCGCCCGTCTTCGAGGGAATGTACAACTGCACCAACGGCTTCGAGCTGGACAGCCAGTGCACCCTGGCCTGTGGCCTGCAGAGCATGAAGGTACGGCGGGCGGCTTTCTGTGGCCGAGTGGCGAGTCGGCGATCTCCCTCGGCGGGGGCATTCGGGCACCTGCATTCCACAGCATTTGGGCTGTGTGCTGCGGCCGAGCTTGCCAATATTTCTGGAACTTGACTTCCTTCTCTAGTAAAGCGAGGGCAGCTGGACCCCTGCAGTGGGGGAGGGGGGATCATGAGTGCATAAAGGTGAGCACCCCTTCCCTTCCCTGGAGTGGCTTTTGCCCACCGTGAATGGGAAAGCGCGCCACTGTTCAACTCATGGGTGCAGTCAAGACATTTGGGGTGCTTCCAGATGGAGGCATCTTTGAACAACCAGCTAGAAGGTGCTGTGTACCTGTAAGAGCCCCCACACCGGGGAAATCGCCATCTTTTCTCAGTGCAGAAAGAAACAGGATGGAAGAAAAGAGAGAGGATCGTGGGAAAAGCGGAAGCATTAGGTGTCTTCTGAACCAATGAATGAGATGGGGCAGTACCCATAGTCTCACTCTCTCTGCTTCTGCATTTCTAATCAATCATATGATTGAGGGAGAAGACAAATGTGTGTATTGGAAGACAGAAGGATATGTACACACACACACTTCCCGCAAGACATTTGCAGTTGAAAATGGGTTTAGTCTACCAGCGAATCTCTCCCCCTTTGAGCCTATAAAGTTAGCACCGAAAGCCGTGGGGTCAGAGGTGTCTTTCTGCAAACCCATTACTGGAACACCAATAAAAATGTGCACGACGCCAGCCTTGGAAGCGACGACTAGTGCTGGTTTTGTGAAAGTCACCCTGGATGGGGGAATGTGGGTTGGCATTTCCCATCGTGAGTCTGGCAGCATAAGAGCGGTTTTGAATTCCTTGTGTCTCACGAAGAGTTACTTTCTCGTTGTGCTGCAGCCTGCTATCCTTTGCACTAAAGATGGTTTGTGGTCGGAGGAATTTAAATTGTGTGAAGAGCTACAAGGGGAATGTTCGCCCCCCGAAGAGCTTAATTCAGTGGAGTACAAGTGTGAGCAAGGTTATGGAATTGGTAAGAAGGTCACTCTCTGATTAACCGTCTCCGCGGACCCCTCCCTGCCAATCCCTTTTCCTCATTCTTCGAGGAGAGCTTTCCCCCATCCTTGGCTGAGTTCGTTTCTTTCTCAGAAGGTTGGCAGTGAATAAAACCTTGGCCTTTTTTGTGCTGCTTTCTGCTGCCACGTAATGAAGCTTGTTTGATATTTGCGTAATAGCAATGCTATATATACTTCTGATTTTCCTCCTGCAGTGCAAAAGTCAGGTGTTCTTGGGTTGTAGACAGGTGCCTTGAGCAAGCAATAGGTCCGAAAACACCTCTCTTCTGCATCTGTAAAACATCTGTCCCAAACAACAGGAAGGCTGAAGTGCAGAGCCAAGGCGGAACACTTCTGGGAAGGGAGAGAAAATGGAGGTCATGTGAGATGCAAGTCCTAGGGGAAACAGCAAAAGGCAGTACAGGAGGAATGGAAGGGAAGCAAAACTGGGTTCCTGTATAAATAATGTGAGGTATTTGCACTGAGCATCATTTATTCCAATTTCTTTCAGTGTGGGAAGAGGCCGAGTGCTACATGGGGCCTTGAAGCCAATCCTCACCAACCACTAAATTTTTAAATTTGGAAACGTGTGTAGCTTATGAAATTTCAGTGGCATTGCTACATATTTGCAGCACAAGCTGTGCTGGTTTAAAGAAAGCTGAGATACTGAGAAATTCTGCAAGCCCTCTGTTCTGTGGGCTTTCTGCACTCCATCAGAACTGCAGCATGTGACCCACAAGCTTGGTCACATATCCCAGTTGATAAGTGTATTGTTAAAATATAGAAACATAGAAACAGAGTGAGTCAGAAGGGGCTTCCCGGGCCATCTAGCCTGACCCCCAGCTCCAGCCGGCTCCACTCACGACATGCCCACCATGTGCATGTCTGGTCTATCCTTGAACACCCTCACCAATGGGGCCTCAACCACCTCTTGTGGAAGCCCATTCCACACCCTCGGGGTCCTGACTGCTTCCTGGCATCCAAATGGAACCCTGGCTCCCTGAGCTTTGCTCTGTTGGAGCACGTCCTGCCTTCCTCTGCAGGGGAGAACAGGTCTCTACCCATCTCCGTGTGACACCCCCTCACATACCTGCATGTCGCCAACAGATCCCCTCTGAGTCTCCTCTTCTCCAGGCTGAAGAGACCCAGTTCCCTCAGTCTCGCCTCATACGGCATCCCCTGCAAACCAGCCACCAACCTTGTGACCCTACGCTGCACTGACTCCAAGCTGGCTACATCCTTTCTGTAATGAGGGGCCCAAAACTGAGCGCAATACTCCAGTTGTGGGCTCACCAGAGTCGTACAGAGTGGTAGTAATACCTCTCTCAATCCAGAAGCCACACTTCTGACTATGCAACCAAGGGTGGTGTTCGCCCTCTTGGCCACCGCATCACACTGCTGACTCATGTTCAGCCTGCAGTCAACCAGCACCGCGAGGTCCCTTTCACAAGTGCTGCTCTCCAGCCACTTGTCCCCTAACCTGTACTTATGACACCCATTCCTATGCCCCAAGACCTTGCACTTATCCACATTGAACGCCACCCTGTTGTCTCCTGCCCACTTCCATAGTCTGTCCAGATCCTTTTGGATCTGGAGTACCTGCTCCTCAGTTGTGGCCACTGCTCCAGTTTTAGTGTTGTCTGCGAATTTGATCAGCAGACTGTTCACCCCTTCTTCCATGTCATTGATGAAAAGATTAAACAGGATTGGCCCCAGGACAGAGCCCTGGGGGACCCCGCTTGTCACTGGCAGCCATCCCGATGATTCCCCACTAATGGTTACTTTCTGCTTTGGGTCAGTCAACCATGCCCTAATCCACCGGACAGTGCTCTGGTGTATCCCAAAACTCCTCAGTTTCTCCACCAGGATATCATGGGGCACTTTGTCAGAGGCCTTGCTGAAATCCAGGTAAACCACATCCACTGCATCCCCTCCATCCAGCCATCTCGAAACCTTGTCATAGAATTCCACAAGGTTTGGCAGGACCTGTTTTTGCGGAAGCCGTGTTGTGTGGCTGCCAGCCTCCCTTCCCTATCTAGCATCACTAGATCTCTCGCTATTATGAGCCTTTCCATTGTTTTTCCTACAATGGACGTAAGGCTAACCGGTCTATAATTCCCCATGTCCCTTCTACTACCCTTTTTGAACATTGGGACCACTAATGCCACCCTCCAGTCCTCTGGAATGTCACCCGTTCTCCACGAGGCCTCAAAAATGGAGGCCAGCAGGCGTGAGAGAACCCCGGCCAACTCTCTTAAGTGCTCTCGGGTGTAACCCATCAGGAGCCCCTCAACTTCCTGTGTTTTCTTCTGGTGACAAGAAACTGGTCAGGAAAATAATTTTCCTCTAATTCGTTCCACAAGATTGGTACCCACAGGAGAGCCTTGAATTCAGATGATTCATTCTGCAGAAATAGAAAGAACAGGAGAATCAACAAATCAGTATAACTTACTTATCACATTTGTTTCCTAGTCTTTCTCCAAGAAGCTTAGGATGGAATAAATGGGGGCCTTCCAAATTTTATCTCTCAAGAATCCACGGAGGTGCGTTAGGCTGAGGGAAAGTGACTTGCTGGAAAAACAAAAAGCAGAACAGGGCAATGCCGACTTCAGGCCAGCAAGCAAAGAGGCAAACTTCAGAAGGTGCCAAATATGACTCCGGTCTTGCTTTTTCTCTTAGTTTCCTAAGACACCTAGTTCATTATGAGCATAATGCAATCTTCATTGGAAGCAGTCACTGCTTCTTTGTGTAGTAACTGTGAAAAGGGGACGGGGACCCATTTGAGTTGCAGCAGGAATGGCCAGCTTGAGGACTAGGCACCTGAGATGGTCCAGGAAAGGGTTGGTTTTCTGTCCCTTCAGGCGTAGAATTTTGCCCTTGTACAGGTTTCCTTGGGCTGATGGGGATGGCAAAGATGCTTCCTTGCAGAGGGAAAAGGGTGAGCTGCGTAGGTACTACACAGAAACGCAGAAACAAGGCGAGTCAGAAGGGGTCTCCCAGGCCATCTAGTCTGACCCCAGCTCCGGCCAGCTCCGCTCACGACACGCCCGCCATGGAAGCGGAAAGGGCACTTGAAGGCTGTTCCTGGGCCTGCGCTTGGCTGGTGCATCCCACCTAGCGAGCGCTGGACAGTTTGACCTTGCATGTCTTCAGTGCAGAGCAGCAAATCCTTTGGCTGCCCGATCCCTGGCATGCAGCTTGAAGTGCCAGTGTTAGAACAAATCGCATTGCTGCACATTGGAAAGCTGAGTCCCGCAGCATGTGATCTGCAAAGGAACTTCCCAGCCAGAAGGGGCAACCATCTTTCTGTCTGTGTTTTGGACCACAGGAATTGTGAGGGCTTTATTCAGAAATCCCAAGCATTAATAGCTGCAGCCTCAAGGGGGAACACAGCGAGCATGCAGTGGGCACCGTCTTGCCAAAATGAGATGTTTGCAGTCCAGTCCATCTTGGTGGGAGAATTAACTCCTTCTTATTACAAAGAGTAGGTCTTAAAGGTCTGAGAGGCACCTTTCCTCACGGAGGCCCTTCCGATGCCGGTCCCACTGTTCCGTTCTCCCTACACACAAAAAAGCACAAATCCTGTAATGATGCTGGCAGAAAGAAATGACTTTCCCTGCTTATATAGCTTTAGCACAGCATCCTTTCTTGGCTGTGGGGTTTCTTTTGAGATGTTTTTCTCCCAAGGTTTATTTTTTAAGGGAATGGGGAGAAAAATGGAAGTAAACAAAAGCTGCAGGGTGGAAGCGGGATGCTCAGGGGATGTGATCGTGCGGTGTGCAGGCACGTGCTGGCGAGGGAACTGGGGGAAAGGATGCCATCCGGACTGCTGGCGTCCACCCAGTTTCTCTTCCGTGAGATACAGTGGAAGAGTCAGGACTCTTTGGAGACTGTCCTCTTCAGTCAGTCGTGGGGAACCTTTCTCTCTCAATAAAATACACATTAAGATTCTCCTAGTTCTGAGCAAGCTGCTCAAATCTGTCAGAAACTGCATGGCACATGCAACACTGCTGGTGTGTCGTTCCAGAGTCTCACACGAGCCGCCATGTGAAGAACCTCGTTCTTTGCCAAGGCTTCTGACGCCCAAGAGACTCTCATGGTCCCACTTGGGAAAACAGCATTCTTTGTTTGGTTTCTCCACCGCAGGGGCTGTGTGCATCCCCTCCTGTCTCATTCTTCCAAGAGACCCTGTGGTGCTGCCTGAGAACGTCACTGCCGATACCATGGACCACAGGCTGAAGCCCACCAGAGTCCGGGTAAGAAGGAAAAATGGCCCGGGACCAAGAAGGAGGTTTTTCTAGTTTAAAATCTCTGTGTGGTGAACTGCTCTTAGTCCATGGAAAGTCTTGACAGGCAGCTTTGGATTCTTCTCTGAACCGATGTACTTTTCCATCCCTTTAGGCCAGTTTAGGCAAAAGAGAGATAATAAAAACACGAGGATGATGGAGGAGGGAAGCTAAGAGGAGGCGACAGTGAAGCAGCAGGAGAAGCGGCTCTTTGGGAAGGGCTGCGAGGGGTTTATGGCCATAGCGGCTCCTCCTGTTTCATGCAGAAAGTGATAAACAACCTGCTGTCATTAATCACATGTCCTCTGATGCCGCAGGGGTTTCTAAGGAAGGCTGCAGTCCTTCGGATTGCGCTTGGAACGGCTTCGTCCTACTGGCTGCTGCATATAAAAGCTTACTTCATAAGGATGTCTTGATGCTTGATAGTACTTGCTCAGGAACGTAAGGGTGGACCCAATCCAGCGCCTCGCATTCGGTGGCAACACAGCTGTGGCTATCTAGCATCGTGGTTCCCTGTTTCTAGCATGTGGCACATTATAGTGGGGATCACCCAGGAAGTTCTGCAGTGGAGACAAACGACCATCAGAGGAGCTGGAGAAGGGGAGCAATGGTTGCGAATGGTTGTAAACCGTTGCATAAAGCAGGCAATCCAGTGGCTTGCAGTCCTTCTCTCCTGTAATCACTATTTTCAAGGAAGGAACTGAATGTGCAAATACGCTGTAGATTTCTCACTTGGCTGTGGTGTGGAACTGTGCATCAGCTGGATCAGAGCTTGACTTCCTTCCAAGCTCGCAATTCTGGGAAAAGAAATGCATATAATATGCATAAGAAGGGACAAACACAAAATGTATTGTTGGAGGAAGAGGTGAAATGAAATGTGGCAAGACTATTGGTTTGGAAACAACTCTCGATTCGTGTTTTATTTAGCTGCAGTTCCATTCCAAGCTGTCTTGATATGTTCTGGTTTTGGTCTCCTGAAATTTTGGCCACAGTTTCCAATTTCTTGCTAACTGCAAGTTTTGACAATATCATCCTGATTCCTCTCAGTGGAATGGCTGAAATGCTTCAAATATTATAGTTTTTTTGTTTTCCCTGAATTGGGTCTGTTGAGGTAAATATTTCTGCAAATTAAGCACGCTGAAGGCACAAAGAAGGGAGAAACTGAAGCAGATAGTGCTTCGGGAGCCAGTGTTCCCGGCCAAGACGCCTCACTCCTCCTGGGAACTTTCGGGAAGTGCAGGCAGAGCTTTGCGCCTCTGGACTCTGCTGTGTGTCAAGTTGAATCAAGGCCGCAGCCGGAGAGAGGACACGTCTCCGCAAGGGAGGGTGGCCTCCCGTGGCAGCCCTCCGCCAGCGCTCTGTGGGGCGCAGAGCCTTGAGTTGGAAGGTGACCTTGAGCTGGGGTTCTCCCCCTTTGAGAAGTACTCTCTTTCCAGCCCCCACCCCCTTCATGATGTGGAGGTGTCCTGGGTGGGGAGGGCTACGGGAAGACAGCAGCAAGAGGGCCACGGGGAGCAGGCGAGTTGTTGTGAAACCAAGTGTTGCTCCCTTGCCAGGAGCTGTCCCCAAACTGCACGTTCTCTCTCCGTTTCTTGGTCCCCCTGTGCATTTTTTATTCGCTTCTGGGCTTGATTGTCTCCGACACTTTGTGGCAACTTGAACCCTCTTGGCTCTTAAGGGGCACCTGCCGTACTGAATGGAGTGGGGTGAGGCAGCCAGCAAAGGGGACTGGAGAACTTCAGAATCCTCCACCGAACTGGACCGGGCTAAGCAAAGGCAGGTTGACAGAAATGAAGAGGTTGCAACTTAGATCCAGCCTCTGCACCTTTTAATTTTGGGGTAGGAACTAGCAGCTTCAGTTGAGTAGATATTTGTCAAGAAAACATTTAGCTGTTGCAGGCATACAGCTTTTCCTGCTGAGTACTCCTCCCAAAGGTTTCTGTTTCCTGGTGCTGCCGAAAACACGAAAACAATATATTTGTGTAAGTGATCCTGGCTCTTTTCTTGAATCGGGTGAGAGCAAAGGCCCTTCAGGCATTTCTGAACCAATTAGATGCCCAGGTAAGTTAACAAACATGTAGTCTACAAGCAGGGAGTCGTGTGTGTCGGGTGTGTGTCATACCATATTCACACAATAAAATACAGATTTGTGATAGGCACATGTGTTGACAGTGTGTGTGCATTTTGGCTTTTTCTTTGCAGGATGCATTCAGCTTAATGGACAGTTTCATCTCTCCAGAACTAGATTAGAAGCCTTGTACTCACTAATTATGCATTCCCCCCCCCACAAGAAATCCAAATGCCATCCCAAGAAGGATCCCATCCCCTGCGGAGAATACATTTTAGTAAATTTGCAAATAAGATTGGGTTTCTGTCAGACTGATAAAAGTGCATGTTACAAAACTACCTGGAGTTTTGCAAATTTTGGTTCTAGAATGTGAGAAGGTGCTAAACCTGCTCAGGAAGACTTATTGCAGTGGATAAAAATCCAATAAATACATAAATGAGATAGGAGTGTAAGAACAACAAACAGTTTATGGAATGAGGCTATCCAGAGGCCTTTGTGAAGGGATCCGTAGACAAGCACCTTATAGAAGCTCCTGCTTTTGCATCCATCACCAATACTTTCCATATTGATCTCCACAACCGTGAGACCTAAATTGCAATCGAGGTGCACGATTTTAAGTGGAAATTTAAATTCTTCACCAGTGGAATCTTTTAAAGGTCATTATTGCAGAACCGAATCGCTCATTGGCCATTCAGGGAATAAGGAATACTTACGCTGATGCACATTTAAATCTGCCTGGGATAAAAACGATCCTATGCATGTTTGGCCACAGGGCTGGCTGGGAGTTTCTGGGACTTTTCTCTCTCTGAACATGCGTAGGGTTGTGTCCTCGGCCAGATGAATATACCCCTGTAGGGTCCCCATGAATCTTCTTTTCTGTCTCTTCAGAGTCTGGTCTGCACTGGAAGACTGGAGTGGCATCCAGATCCAAAAGCCATGCATTGCATCGCGTCCTGCGAGGTAGGCCGCTCCTGCGGGCACACGCCTGCGCCGAGGGGGTCCCGGGTGTCGGAGCCTCCTTGTTCCAGCTGCCGTGTGTCGATGGCGTGACGCAGGGTTGTCCGGGAGGAGTTCCTCTCTGGGAGGCAGAAATGTGAGGCGCCTGTTTGCCCACGGGAACGGCACTCGTGGCCTCCCAGTGCCAGTGGCGCTATCTGGTATGGGACAGCAGGTCTACCGATCTGGCCGTTTAGGTCCCGCGGAGACCTGCTCTCTTGTGGTGGCAAAGGGCTTCTGTGCCCGAGGCACTTAACCTGTCCCTTTATCGTACTTTCGGCTTCTTCCCCCGCGGTTTTCCTTTTCTACCGCTCTGCAAGTTCCATTGCACAGCCACAAGGTGGCATGACAGAGCTGCCCACTTTTTGCTCTGGTGCCTTTTGCTCGTGGAAAAGAATTGCCTCCTTTCCTTGAGCTAAAATTTAAAAGGGTGTGGAAAGGATTGCCAAGGACAGGAGAGCCCTGGGGCGGGACGATGCCTTGTAAAACACCTGCGAACCACTGTGAGCGTGGAAGCATGGGGGCACAGTGACTGCCTTGCCCGGAGAAGCCTGAGAGATTGGGGGGCCCTCAGGATCCTTCCCAGCCTCCCCGTGAGAGCGCTGACTTCATCAAGAGCTGTGTCTGTGTGCCTTGAACGACGGCTAACGCTAACCACGGCGGTACCGTAACCAGAAATTGACACTGTTTGCTGGGTGAGAGGGATCCTAGCCCGCTTTGTTGAGGAGTCTGGAAACGGAGCACTCAGACACGGTGAGGTTTGTGCTGGGAAGAGGGAAGCCTCGGGAAATTTAATCGGCATTCTCAGTAGCCAGGGATTTCTGGGACGTGTCATTCCAGGAGCGATGACTCTGCCACCAGCTGATAGGACCCGCCAACCTTAATATAAAGATACAGACCTGCCGTTTGCAGTGTGTGGTTCTGGAAAGACTCCCTGGCCTAACCTGGAACAAACCCCCACAGGTGACTTGGCCGGGTCCGCTGGATTGGTTCTGGTGCTTCTTTCTTCTGGGTCTGGAGGCAGAATGAAGGGCGCCTTTTCTCCCCCCCCCCCCCCGCCTAGTAATCCCTCTGCCCCTTTCAGCCTCTCTTCGCCTAGCGAGCCAGTGAGCGAGGAGGGAGGCATCTGCAAACCCCAAGGGGGGCAGGGGGAGAAGGGGGAGGCATTTGGAAAGCTGCTCGGGAGGGAGGGGCGGCAGTGCCTTGACAGCAAGAAAACCAGACGGCAGAGTGGAGGGAGAGCGAGGCACTGAAATAGAATGGGAGTGGAGAGCGGGCCAGAGTGCAGAGCGACCTGGCGGCTGGCCGGAGAAGGAAGGGAGAAGCCGCTTTGCATGCTCCTAGCGGCTGCAGAGCCCCTCTGCCCGTTGGGGAGCTCCTTTGCTTGCACAGTGCCCCATTGGAAGAGCGGATCTGCCCTGCTCCACGGCCGAGGAGGGGTGGCCGGCTGGGGCGCACAAGCCGCACCCGGCCCGCTTGCCCCTGGCTGAGCTCCCAGGGTGTTGGCTATTTATCTGGGTGGCCTGCGCGGTGCCCCGGGACAGCCGTGCGAGGACCTCAGGCGGCCGGTCCACCTGTGCCCGGGAGCCCGTGCGCCCCTGTGTGGCTCTCCCAGGGTGCGGGGCTTCCGGCCGCCTTTTTGATTATGTCCGCCCTCCCAGGGGTGTCTTCCCAGGTCTACCCAGGGAAAGTGGATTATGCATCTTTCGATGCTCAGAATCGACGCTGCCGGGGGACAGTGGCAGTCGTGGGGCTGGGAAGCCGGTTGCTGCTTCTCGGCCACAAAACAGTGGATGGACGACCCACACGGAAGCCACAGTGAGGAGGGCCTTAGCACTCCGCGGCCGGCTGCTTTCCCCCTTGAGCCCTGTGCCAGCCACTGATCCCCTGACCGTGGCCCCAGAAAGGAGTCTCCCATGATGGGAAGCCTTGGTGGCAGCCATGAGACAGGATAACCGGGTTCCGCCAGGAAAGGCCCCGTTCGCCTTGAACCCCGGCGTTTTTATGGTGAGATCACCGAGGCCCCCTGGGCGATCACTTACTTACGGCCACCAGGTAGTGGAACTCACCGCCAGCTGCAGGCTTTTAGAGCATACGCAGAGTGTCTTATCGATTCGGAGACACGTGGGCCCAGCAGCTGGGCCGTTGATGACGAAATAAGGGAACAGCCAGAAGAAGGCGAGAGGTCTGCAGAGGGGGCTCAGTACAGTGGCCTTTGGCCGCAGGAGATGACATAGGGCCCACTGAGGCACAGGGATGGCTGTGGGTCTGCATGCCGACAAAGAGGGCGATTGCAGTGCTGTTAGCCTGGCAGCCTCATCGGCCCTTCCCGATCAGCAAAGCTGGAGCCCTGGCAGCTGCTTGGGGAAGCCACCGTCAGCTCCCACCTCTCCCAGCAGCAGCAAATGCCAAACAGTGGCCTGGCTTGGAATCGGGGTGCTTTCTGAGAAAGGGGCGCAGGGTTGATTGTATAGCACAAAGGCACATGTAGGCAACCCTGTTCTGACTTTTCCCAGCACCCGAAGTGTGAGAAGGCTGGAAGACGAGGGCCAGAGGAAGGCTCGACCCCTCCCGGGCTGCCAGTCGCCTTGGTGACGGATGGGCAGGGGCGGCCTGCAGACGCTCTCCCTCCGTGGAGTCCGCTCCTGCGGCCAGCCTTGTTTGCACTGCCCTGCCTTCTGTCCCTCCTCGGTCTCTCTTCTTCCTGTTGCTTCAGCCCCTCCTTCCCCCTCTTCCTGCCCATTCATCTTCCTACATGGGCTGCTCTGTTTATGCACCGTCAGGATGTCTCCTGGCAGATGCCCAGGAGACATGAAGGCTGTTTTGAACGTCCACCTGGGCCGGGAGCAAAGCGCCACAGCACCCGAGGCATAAAGCCCTCGCCTTGGGGCCGGTTCAAAGCCTGGGAGCTCCTCCGTGGCCCAGCGTGTCCTTTCAGCCCGCGTGTAAACTGGGCAGAGGCCAAGCAGGTCAGGGGGCTGCTGTGGCTTTGGAGCTTGCTTTCCACGGCCCCGTCTGTCCTCGGCCTGCCTGAGCGAGGACCGGCTTGGCAAGAGATTTGAAACGGCAGGGCTGTGGTGGGTCCCCGTTTAGCCTGCCCTGGTCTGGCTGGAACGGCAGGTGGAGCTTTCCAAAGGTGAAAAACACCGGGCCCAGCTGCCCACATCCCGGATGGAGGTCCGACTGGGCAGGCGTGACACGGATGGTGTGCTGAGAGCCATGTGGGGTGGTGCTGGGGGCCCAGGACCTATGGCTCTGGGCCTCATTCGGCTATGAAGCGCCTTCGGGAACCCTGCTGTGCAAGCCACCTTGGGTTCTTAGCAAGGGCGGGGTGTAAATGCAGTGCGGCGATGATGATGATGATATGATATCACACACACACCCCGTCTGTCCTGAAGGTGGTTGCTCAGACCCTGGCACTGAGCTCTAGACCTTTTCTACCCAGGGGGAGGAGCAGTGGGAGCCCTCTGAGCACCACGGGGGGCTCTCAGCAACACTCCTGACGCCAAGAGGCCCGGGACAGCAGCAGGCGGCCGCTGCAGATGCTGACAGCTCAGCAAAGGGAAATCTTGCTCCGGGGGAGCAGGCCCCTTCCTATGCTTCTTTTTAACAAGAAAGCTGGCTTTTAAATTTTTTAAAAAATTTTATTTTCTTAGCATATACAAATGCATAGGAACAATGTGGAATAGAAAAAAACTAGTAGAACAAACTGAAGTGGGCAAAATAGACAAAGCAGACAAAATTGCCAAGGGCATTGTGAACAGGTGCAGCCTGTATTGCAACCCCCGAGCTGACTCTCTTCCTCTCTTCCCATGCTCTGTGAGAGTATGCAGAAAAGAAGAAGAAAGGTGGATTTAATTGTTTTGTTTAATCGTTGGGGGGTTGAACTGTAACCTGTTCTGAAGAAAGGGTGTGTGGCAAGGTATTTGCAATAGGTTTTGTGTTAGCCTGGCTTACGAGCGCAATAGAGGGAGTGAAAATAGCTGCATTCGGAAGTCACCATAATCCAGCTTTTTCCCCATTCTGGCTTGCCATGAATGGACAGGCGAGATGCTGCAGGCCGCTGGTTCATTCCCACGGCACCTTCTGGAAGCAGGAGTGGTTGCAGGGAACTGGAACTCTGTCCCTCGAAACCAGGAACTCTTCCTTGCCTTTGGTAATGATCTGGAGCCATAAGCCAAGAACAAACCCTGGTTTATGATCCTGGCTTGCTAGGAGCAGAAGATGCCGGAGTTCTCAGTCTGGCTTACTGATGGGTGCCCACTGGAGACTCTCCTTCTATAAAAGAGCCACAGAGGCGGTGGGAACAAGTTCTGAGCCAGGCAAGAGGGGAGATAGCCAAAACCAGCAGCTGAATGGCCCAGGCTGGTGGAGCCAGAGGCAAGCCAGGCAGCTGCTGAGAATCGGACCACTTTTCCGTGAAAAAGTGTCATATGCCGACGTGGAGAGGGCAGGCCTAGCAGCCTTAATCTGAGGTTATGGGGGCTGAAATGATTGGGACGCTTCAGGCACTCCAGGCAATTGGCCCAAGACAGGAAGAGCCACCTCGGAGGTGCGGTTTGCTCGGTTTTGGAAGGGAGCAAAGGTATTCCGTTGAGAATCAACTTCCCATCATTAATCTGCTTTTCCCCAATAGCCCTAAAACTAACTTAGCTGGTTTTCTTTTGTCTTTCTGCAAGACTCTTCTTTTATACAGCGAACCCCGTGTAGCTCACCAGCTTTAACATAAACCTTTGAGTTAGAAAGCTTTGGTCTTGATCTCCTTGGAAAGGGAGCAGTTCTCACAAACCATGGACAGAGTCCCTGGCTTGTGGAGGTGTTCTCCTCGGAGGAGCTAAGTGGGAAGGCTCAGCCCAGCACAGAAGCACGCTTGCTTGTTCATGCTAAGACATTTTTTAAAAAAAATCTCTGGCTTGCCATCTCATGTAAACCGGGCCAGTGTCTTACACCTCCATTGGCTTTGGCTTTTGCTTTGATCAAGGGAAAGGCTCTCTTGTGGAAGCACCGAAATAAGTAAAAGGATGAATGGGTACCTTAACTTTGCAGATGACCTTAAATTGACTAAAATGAGTAGATCTTGGGCAAGAGTTGCACTGCACGAAAGAGCATGACCGCCAGTCCTGCGGTTCCCCGTTTAACTGGATTCCGTGTCTTTTCTGGCTCCGCCATGCCGTAGCATTCCTGAATGAGCAGTGCTGGGATTAGAGGTTGGGCTGGCAGATACAGAATCCAGAGCAGGAGCTGATGCTTTGTGTTCTGGAGACAGCGGGAGGGCCTCTGAATTTCCAGAAGGTACAAAGAGAAACTGTTGGTGCTCCTCAGAATGCAAAGACCCAGTGAAATGGGGCGGCCATGTATTCTGAACAGACCAAGGCCTTTCCACCTTGTTCATAATGCCAGGCACAGTTCGATCGTGCACCGGTTTAGGCTGGCCTTTGGTCCGACCAAATAGAGCTACTCTTACATTCTTACGCTTGCATGAGGGTATTTTAAAAATGCCGCTGGAGGAAGCCCAGTCCCGTGGTTAATGCCAGAGGTGCTCCAAGTCCTTGCGGTCCCAGAGATGGAAAGACCCTGGACCACCAGCTCCACCACTTCCATTAATTAACAGGGCTGTGAAGAGGGTTCCCTTCACAGGGCTCCCGAAAGAGGCACGTTGGTTTTGCTGTGGCTTGTGCCCAGCGCCCAGCCTTTCCGCCATCCCGCCAGACTGTCTGAGGCTGAGGCTGCCCGCGAATGACTGACCACGGCAGGGTCTGCAAATGTGCGCCATCTGGCTCCCCACTCGCGGGCTCTCCCAGAAGCTGCTCTGCCGCGTAGCAGAGCCGTCCCTTGATCCTAGAGTCTATCTTGACATGCCCACTTGCAGTGGTGCCTCTGGGGTCGCCCGTTCGCTTCCACCCCCAGCGGGCTCTCCCACCTTTGTTGAAGCACTCGCCCCGTGCAGAAGGATCGGAGCAACACCCGGCCGTGTTTCGCTCTCAGTTTCCTCCGTGTCTTCAGCAAGGTTGTTTCTTGGCAGGGAAGGAATTGGGAAGCGGCAGGCGGGGAGTGAGGAAATAATAAAATGAAAGCCGTTTTGCAACAGTTGAACGGCCGAGAATAATACTGGCTCCAAGCAGTGGACACGGGCGCTTCCTCCCGCAGTCGGCATCCCCGGTCGTCCCAGTGGGCAGCTGGAGTGGCCAAGGAGCGCCAGCTCCTCATGTCATCAACGGGCACGTGCCGGAGAGCTGCGCATGGAGAGGTGTGGCGCAAGGTCGCACGATCGCACCACGGGGGCTCTGCAGCCCAAAGACGGTTCCTCTGCAGCCCAGGACTGTTCAGTCCTGCTTTCTTGATCCCTGCAGCCCTCGGGTCGACTCCAGGCCCAGCCTTAACCACCCTCCTTCACTTGGAGACGCTGAACGTGCGCCTGGTTCACAAGGTTCCAGGTCGGCTAAGAAGCCGTGGAGGCTTGCTCAGTTCTCTGCCGGAGAGGTCCCTCGTTGCCCTTCGCGGCATGGCACGTGCCCAAGACCAGGGTGGCTTGTTGCCGGGTTAATAGGAGAACCCTTGCCGTGGGCTCCAGGTGCAGCAGCAAGATAACCCTGGCCGGGTTCAGACAACACGAGAAGCCGCCCTGGCAGGGTCTGTGATGCTAGCCGCCCTGGCATGTGGCAGACTCGCGTGACGGGGGAAATCGGCCACTGAGGCTTGCATTCTCCACGACCACACAACTTCCTTGTTTCAGAGGGGCTTGTTCGGTCGTCTGAATCCAGCACTGTGGCCTGGTGAGCGAGGAACCAACCCACCGTGTCTTGCTCTGAGCTGGGTTTGTCTCGGCAGTCCACTGTGGCTTCTGTTCTTTCCCCTTGCCGCTTCCCGCTCTGCATTTTGCAGCATGTTGCCCTAAAAGATCTGAAGGTCTAAAGGTCTTCGCAACTTTTGTGATCTTCTTGTTGGCCCAATAATATGGATAATATGGATGATGATGATGATGATGATGATGATGATGATGATGATGATGATAAGGATGTTGGAATCTTTGCCCAGGGGATTCCAAAGTGTTAAGAGCCCATTTATATGAGACCAGGGGTCACGGAGAATGCGATTAGTGTGCAAGCATTGCATGCACGCTGGTCGCGTGGAAATGGGCTCACCGTGTGTGCTGGTTCCTCCCAAGTGATCGGCTGCTCTGGCAGAAGCTTGCAAGCAGACCTCTCCGTATGGCAAGTCCGTTGAGGCACCGAGGACTGCCTGGTCACCTTCTCGATTTCCATTTTTCAACTTGCACAGGGTGCCTCTTTACAGAAGACCCAAGTAATTACAGGGTTCGAAGGATCACTAATCCCAGCATGAAAACGAAGTGTGACTGTGCTGGTGAAGCTGCCATCTGGAGGTTTGATCTGCATCCGTTTAGTGCAACCAAGGCATGATTTGAATGCACCGCTGTGTGGCAAGAACCGGCATTTTCTCCACGGGAGCAAATCCTCGCTGCTCTCTGAGTCTCGCTGTTCTCGGGAGGTGGATTCTGTCCTTCTGCTCTTGGCTTGCCGGAGCTTTTTCAGAGCGCTCGGATCAGATCGATTTCCCTTTGCAGCACATTCCCTGTGGCAAGGAAGGAGGAAATAAAATAGCTGCAACTCGAAAGGCGAATTACATCTGGTATTCACAAAGGATGTTAGGCTTTTTCTTAGGTTCTGTGAGGGCCACCTACCTGGAGGATAATTTTGTATTTGCTCACTGGAAGCAGACCTTGTGTCAGGGCCGGAGCCTGCGTGACCTGGCAGGTGCTCGCGGAGCCAGGTGTGCGTCGTGGGCACTGGCAGGACGCGCCGTGGAGCAACTCTGCAGCACAGTGGGAGACCCCATGACCAGCATCCGGGGCCTCCCTGCGCCGCTGCCCCCAGCCACAGCGGTGCGGTGGTCCCGGGGGCTCCTTGTTCCCCCCGCCCCGGCCCGCCTCGCGCCAGGGTGTCTCGGCCTCGCTGCCCTCCCGGGCTTCCTCTGAGTAGACCCTGCCTCGCTCCAGCCCTCCGGTGAACTGACCCTGGAGCTGTGCTCTGCCCCCCCAGCGCGCCTGCAGATCGGGCTGCCCTCCTCCGTGCCTTTGACCCGGCCCGGCTGACCTGGCCTGGGCCTCTGGCCCATAGGCAGCTCCTGACCCTGGCGCTCTGCCCTTCCCTGTCACTGCCCACAGCCTGGCCTTCACAGCTGAACAGATTTTGTGGTTCATATTGCAGCTGTTTTCTCTCTCTCTCATACTTCCTCATCCTGAAAATGAGCCTTCCACATACATCCCGACAAGCCACCCGCTTACAACAAGCGTTACTTGTGTGGATGATGAGGAGGCTTGGCTAGAAGGGGGATTTTGGATCCTCTCAGGACACACTTATTCCCGGGCAATCCGTTGCTCCTGATCTCTGAGCAGGCATGTGTCCGGTATATTTTTGTACTGTGCGACTTCTCACTCTTACTTTTGAGCTGAGATGGTAATTTTAACCTTCTGGGATACATTATGGTAGACATGCAAAACAGATTGGAATGTTCTTAGTTCTTGCTTTTGATTACTAAAGACACAAATGAATGAATGCTTTCTTGGGAAGCAGAGCGGTTACTTGCAGTCCCTGGATTTTTGTTGCTCAAAGACCCCTGCCATTTCAGGGACGAAACTCAAATTCATATGAATGCCTTCTCAAAATTTTTGGTGACTCCTGTTGCCATCGAAGGTCCTTGGTAACCTGATCTGGTAAGCTGATCTTGGTAAGCTGATCTGGGGAACCATTGCTTGTTCTTCTGGCTGTGAAAAGTTCGCGCGGTAACCAGTTGGTTGATTCCAGCGTGCTGCAAGATTCTTCATGGTTTCTGACCCAGTGGTGGCCAACTTTGCTTCTCTCTGAACGCTCGTTTCTCTCTCTCGGTAGCCTTTCCAAGCGGACGGCTGGTGTGACACCATCAATAACCGAGCCTATTGCCAGTATGACGGGGGCGACTGTTGCTCCTCAACCGTCTCATCCAAAAAGGTAGGTGAGCGCAGGCACTGCCTCTTTACAGCGGGAGCCGAGATTTTCGCTTCCACCAGGATGCATTTCCCATCAGGCACTAGGTTTTGGTGCTTCCGAGCAGTGGTTGGCCTTCGTTATCGCATCCAGTCACTCCTGGCCTCTGGTGAGCCACGTCTGGAAAAAGAAACGGGACAGCTGAGCGAAGCAGGAGCGATGTGGGAAGGGTCCACTTCCGCTGAATACCAGCCAGCCTGAAATTAGCATCGCGTCTGTTTAGGGGGGCCTCCAACCTGGGGACAGGCATGGGGCGGGCCGAGTGCGTGGAGCGCGGCGAGGTTTCATCCCCCAGACATGCCGTCTCCCAGCTTGCGTAAGGAGCTGGGGCACTCGGCAGCGGAAGGGGGGCTGCTCTGCATCATCAGCATAACCCACGTGGACGGCGCTTGCACGTTCCTCCTCGGGCCAGGTGGTGGGTGAGGATCGCACACGATGCAGGCCAGCCCTTGGTGCGACGTTCGCCCAACTAGGAATTGTGTGGATTTTCACGAAAGGCCAAATGGTACATGCAGAGGGCTGCTCTGGATTGGGGCCCTGGTGTGGAGGGAGGGTTTTTTGTTGGTTTGCCTTTCGCCTGTTTTTAGCGCTTTATCCCCCTGATTCGGACCTGATTTGGAGGGGGCAACATGGCTTGGCACAGAAGGTTCTCTGGCTGACAGGGGCTCTTCCAGGGTCTGAGACTGGCTCTTTCCCAGCCCTGGAAACAGGAAGTAGCACGAACGGACTTCTGGAGCATCAAATAGTTGAGGAAAGGTTTCCGTAACAAACATGGTTGAACCAACTGGGCGGAGGGTGGGGAGAGCCCTTCCTGGACGGCCTCGGTTCCTGAATCCACACTCTTCTCCCGTTCCTTCAGGTGGTCTTATTTCCCAACGGCTGCGACCAGGACGAATGCACCTGCCGGGACCCAGACGCCCAGGAGAACCAGTAACAGCGACCACAAGGCTTGTGCTGCCCGGGTCGGCCCTGGTGGGAACGACAAGGGCCGGTGGGGAGTGTGAGCGCGGGGAGGGACGAAGGGGAGGCAGACGGAAGCACACGGGCCTCTCGCAGGAGGGTGGGGAGAGGAAGAGGGCGCACGGAGCACACGCCCTGACCGGCCCAGCTGGATTCGCTTCCCGTCGGAATGGACGCCCAAGCCAAGCCCTCCCATGGCCCCGTCGGTTCTGTTGGCAAACTGGCCCTGATCCGGCTGCCGGGCCGCCTTCCCTGCGTTACTGTCTCCGTGGTTTGCCACCTGCAACTGTCTTTGCTCTGAATGTTGTCATTTTGTCCCCCACCCCCTTCACTGTCTAGGGCTTGGTTTAGCAAAGGGGGAAGATAAACACGATCTGTCTGCAAATATTTAAGCCTAATTTTATTACAAATCTATATTATATTTTTATTTGCTGTTTATTAAGCTGAAATGTGCTGCTGTGAGGTACAGTATGTGAGGAAATGTGGGGTCACCTAAGGGGAGGACTTCCCAGATGCTGAGGGGATGCCGAGGGCCGGTGCCTGCAAGAAGCCCCATTGGGCTTTGCAGGGCCAGGCTGGACTGCGTCAGGCTGCAGGTTCGGGTCTTCAACCCCGCCGCCCCCCATAAAAAGCTCTTCTTTGCCCACTGTAAGTGCGGGAAGAAGCACCCTCCTGGGGTGGCCCAGTTTGGGGAGACGGTTGCCGCCCAATTCCACCCGTTGTACAAAGCGCGACCAGCTGGCACGTCAGTGTAACAGGAGAAGCCCCAGCCATCGCCCTGCTTGCCAAGGCCACGGGCCACCTCTGTAGAGAGGCCTCTGCTGCCCGCGAAGCTGCTCCCTGCTCTTCTGCACTGAAGTCTCATGAGCCCAGGCAGACCTGCAAACACCCCACAGGTTTCTGGTCCTCAGTGTTCATATTTACTAGGCTTGCTTTCTGGGATGTGAGTTGGAAGAGAAGCTGTTCTTCTAGCGCTGCCCTGCTTGGCACTGGGGGGGGGCAGTCTTCCCTCCCCACAGAGGTGGCATTGGAGAAGCCTGAAGGAGGGGCACCCAGAGAGGTTTTGGAACCGCCTCCTTTCCGGGGCCTCAGCTCCTTTTGCGTGCTAGCGCTTGCTGCCGAAGACGATAGAACTGGCCGGTGCTCCAGATCGCACCGGGACAGCTCTCTGCGCCAGGGTGCCGTGTTTGCTGCCCAGGTGTGCCAGGTCCTCTCCCAGGGATCTCCTGGCGTGAGATCTGGGCTAGAATGGCCCAGCGGAGCATCATCTCGATGAACCTGGCCCTGTCCCAAGGCAGGATGGGCAGCAGTCTGTGCCAAGCCAGCCGATGCTGGCCAGCTAGTCGCCGTGCTGGGAGGTGGGCTGGGGAGGGGAGGGGGCAGGAGCTCCTCAGCGCAGCCCCCGCCTGCCCTGCCAGCCGGGCTCGTTTCCAGCTCAGGAGCTGAGCAAGGGGAGGGATGCTCCAGGCAAGAAACGGGCAGAGGAAGGCCTTGGCACCCCCTGCGGATTCTTCTCGGCAGCTCTCGCCCCCAGGTCAGTCTGGAATGCCAGGCAGGGCTGGACCCCCTTTGCCCCATGGCTGTCAGACCTCCCCTGCCGAACGTGGCTGGACATTGCCCGGAGTGCTCCCCACGGGCTTGCCTGTGAGTTTCTGCAACACACGAGAGTCTGGGTAGGAACGCAGGTAGTGTTATTCTCGCGGGATGGGGAAGGGAGGAGGGGGCGAAGGGGCCTGAAGGCTCTCGGTCCTGCGGTGGGGAGCAGAGGGCAGCCATGCATTTCTTCTGGGGAAGCACCTCGACTTGAGCCCCACTGCCGGGCCAGGAATAGCGGGAGCCGCGCAAAGGGTGAGCTGTGTGGGCAGCCAGAGGCGGTCGCCGTGGCTTGTCTGGCTCTTTCCCCGTGCTTGTGATGGAGAGCGGAGCCCTCCCGAGGGATCCTTCCAAGGCTGCAAAGACGGCACTCCCAGGCTGCTCCCCGCAAATGCAAACCAGGGCTCAGAGTGGATCGGGAAGGCGCTTCTCCAGGCCTCACTTACGCTCTGGGAGTCCATGAGTGCCCTGCGGGTTAAGCTGAAGTAGCTGCTCCCATCAGGCTTTGCATGTGTGTTCACAAATCTAGATTAGAATCGCTGTGTGCATAAAAGGAAGGCTCAGCTGGGAGCTGGGATTAGCTTGCGAGGGAGGCAACCAGGTCGGCCTGATCCAGCCAGAACTGTGGGCGCTCTGGTACCTTTGGAGGCCAGCTGCAGAGCTGTACCACCTGTCCTGTTGTTCCATTCGCACGCAGACGGGCCCCCCGTGGCACCCGCATTACTTGGGTGTTCTCCACGGAGTCTGCTCAAAACCCTGGACATCTTTTCAGAGGTATTCCTGCTGCTGTGCAGATTGGACGCTGCTTTTAGAGGCCTGAGCAAACCTGGCGTGGTGATTCTTTGTGCTGCTTAGTATTTAGTTTATTTTAGGTGTGCATCTAAGGGTTTTTGTTTTGTGCGCCCGAAAATGTTGCGTGCGAACGAGTCAAGCACATTTGGAAGCACTGTCAGACGCGCTCACCAGGTCGTGGAGACGGGTTGCCGGCAAAGTTGCGGCTTCTATGAATGGCCTGAGGCTCAGCGATGGACTTGGCCATGTAAAGTGCAGCCCATTTCGGCAAAGTTGGGTTTTATTTAAAATAGAGCTCCTGAGAGGGATGACCAGCCATTTTGGTTATGTGCACCAGCTCATGCCTGGAGAAAGAGAGCAGGTGTGGAGAGGAGAGGAGAGGAGAGGAGAGGAGAGGAGAGGAGAGGAATCCTGGAAGGCTCTTGCCGGGTTGATGCATGGTAGGAGAACAGCGTGGCTCCGTTCATAGTGGAGCTTGGCCTGGAGTGGGGATGGAGGCGACCCAGAGGCTTCCTGGCCCTTCTGATGCAGGAGGGGAAGGAGGAATTGGCAAAAATAGCTTTGGATGCTTGTAAGCGACACGGGTGTAGGATGGAATCGTTTTTGCTCCTACAGCCCAATATTTCTTCCAAAATTCAACCTTCGTCTCTTCCCTGTTCTGGAAGCCAAGCAAGCTGCTAGCCTCCATTTAGCTTTTCAGTTTCCCTGAGGTTTGTCTTCATTCAACACATTAAAGGAAAATATGGGGGAGGAACAAGCAGCTTTTCGGTGAACCAGAACAGCCTTTTCTCTGCAGCAAGATAATTTCCAAAAATGCTCTGTGATTCAGTAAGGAGAACAAGGTTTGGGCCAGCCATTCAGTTGTCCAGTTCTCAAGGCCCATAAAGGTGTTTTTGAAATGTTCCGTTCAGTGCAGTTAATTTGGGGTTCTGCTTGGAGGCTACTGAACCTCCCAAAAATGCTTGTGAGATGAGTGAACAGCTAGTCGGCCTGATAAAAGGCACCCAGTTCCACGAATCCTGCATCTGCAGGTACTCGGTTAGGGTGTGTTTCACCCTGTAAGGATTCATCCCAAGGGCCGTCTGCTCTCAGGCCCCCAAATACCGGTAAAATGTGGCCCGCGTTCACGGCAGCTGTGTCTTGGACACCTCAAGCAGCTGCTTCGGGAGCTGTGGGCTTCCTAGACTTCAAAAAGGATCGCAGCCCTCCGCAACCACCCTCTTACCGTGTTGTTTCCACGTGTCTCTAAGCAAGCGTCCTTGGAGTAAACCAGCTCCTTTTCCAAGGCAGGGGCTGACGGGTTGGGATATGGGGGCAGAGGAGCGGATGACACATGCCGGCGTGGAAAACTGATTTGAGAGAATGCTCATTTGTAGGGTACAGAAATATGGGGTTGCCTTTCGCATTGTGGAGCATCTGGCCCCCTCTTTTAAGTGAGGGTTTTATTCACGACTGATGCTGCTGCTATTTTGTTTTATATCTGATAATTATTTTTTATAAAAATCTATGAAAATAAATAATCTACAATCCTCTCGTGTCCTTCTCTAACTTCTGTCTTGCGACTGGAAAACAAAAGCGCTCCCGGCAAGGAAAGGCGGTGGGCAAGTTCACACAGCAGCTGCAGCCACGGCGAACTGGTTGGTGGGTTACCAGTTCGGTGGTGAATCAGGCAGCCCAGCCGTCCTCCAGCACCGGAGTGGCTCGGCTCGGTTCGGTTTAGTTGCAAAGTCCTGCAGGACCCGGCCCATCCTTAGTAAGGAAGGAGTAGCTTACTAGCAAGAAAATTCTTAGCCCCCCCCCACCTGTCCCCTTTTAGCATGTTTCCTGCACCCTTCCAGACACCATGATGCATTTGCAATTTTTTCCCGGGCTGAGCACAATTATTTATCGAATGGCTCTTCCACCCCGGAGCTGCAGCTCAGCAGTCCTGCCCGGATCCATCTCTTACCAAGGTCTGTTTCAGCCACTCGCCCTCCTAGCACACCCCTCGAAGGCGGCTTCATCTGCTCTTGGAGTCAGCCTGCCCCAGACGCGCCTACCATCTCCTGCCCCTCGCCGGCCTCTTGCGCCCCCCGGCCAAATGCCAGTTTAGTTGCCGGGCGGCCCGTGGGTGAGAGAGCCGCCAGGTGGATGAGCAGACGCACGCGCATCACGCACGCATGCAGAGCAGTGGCGACGAGAGCCAAGTGCCACCCAAGGGTGGTGGTTTCTGTGCATCTGAAAACTGAAAGGAGAAGTTTAAAAAGGAACGCGTTTAGGGCACTCCCTGGTGTCCTCCTTGACTTTTAGGCGTGGGGAGTGGTGGCACCGGCAAGAGCAGCTCTCTAGCCATTCCTGATAACCCAGGATGAACTTGCCCCGGGGTTCAGACAGCAGAGCAAGCCATCCTGAAAGCAAGCTACTGAGCAGCCCGACCAGCAGTCGTGGCTTCTCAGGAGGCCTCGCTTGCGGAAAAGAAGCCACCCTGCAGCAGCTGCGCCAGGCTGGGCAGCTCAGTGGCTCGGGATCCTCTGTGCCGCTAGCCGAGTCTGGGAACCGGGTCTCGGCAGCCAGAGAACCAGGTGGCGAGCTGCTGCGAGGCAAGCGGGG